GAAAGCGGGGTTGCGTGATACTGAGGCGAGTGACAGATGTGGATGGAGTCGAGGGGTATTTCGGTTTCATCATAGGTAGCCAAACGGCAACCCCCGATCTCGGGGAAAATGCCGTCTAAACGTGTGTTGTTGTTGTTGTTGAAATAATAGTTGGAGAGTGTGTTCAAATCTATTAGTTTGTTTACTCACAGTTGGCTTGCATTTGTTGATGTACAGGATCTCACGGATTTTCAACCGACCTGGATGTGCTTCGAAATCGAGAATTGTGGTATTCTGATCAAGTATGGTTCGCGTAAGAATCGTGTAGTGTACGTTTGCCATATGTTCTTTGATACCACCATCCTGTACGTGTGAGGTGAGCCTACGGGAGAGAGTTATACGCGTGTGACCGATGTAACTATGCACAACACAGTGTGGCATGAGACACGTAAAGCGGTACACGGTATATGTATATATATATTATTGATGAAAGTCACAGCATGTTCGGCGCTAGTTAACTTCCAATGTAACTTTTCGTTTTTTCTAACGGTTGATCGTATATCATTTTCAAGTTTCTTTAGTTCAAAACCAAAATTTATATTTATTTTATGCATGATAGAACAAAAGCTTTTTTCGGTATTCCTATACCATCTTCAGTGTATAAATTGATATGTTGTGTTTGTGCCCAGATATATATATATATATATATATATATATATATATATATATATATATATATATATATATATATATATATATACTGTGCCAGTGTGCCTCTACTGTACTATGTTGATGCCTTGCTTGTTTAAAGTGAATAATCAATTTACAATCTTCAACATCGTTAAATACAACACTTTAACGTGTTTTCATTATCGATAAATATAACACTTTTACGTGTTTTCATTATCGATGATTCCGCTGTTTTTAAATTTATTGGTAAAAAGAATTCCAACTGCCAGTTGTTGAATATTTTGAGCAAAAGGCTAGACCCACCGCTTATAACTGGTGGTTGTCGTCAGGATGGGTGTCCGTACGTAAAAACTTTTTCCCAAATTATTCCTATACCATCACAAAGAAAACCAACTGCCCCTAGTCTTCAGCAGGCCTTAAGTGGTCAAGGGGTGCCAAGAATCCCTGGGAAGTATGCAATAGCGGAGGGATGTTGCAGAAAAATTCAGAATGGCCCCTCTATGGTACTTAGACATGGAACGCTCAATGTTGGATCACTGACTGGCCGCAGCATGGAAACCGCAGAAATGCTCGAGCGTAGAAGGATTGATATCTGCTGCCTTCAGGAGTCCCGATGGAAATCGAATGGTGTTTGTCATGTCAACTCAGACAAAGAAAAATATAAACTATTCTGGAATGGTGAAAAGACGGCCAAAAATGGTGTTGGAATTTTTGTCAGAGAACCGCTAGCCCAAGAAGTACTGGATATTAAAAGGATTAATTCACCTCTCATGTAGATCAAGCTTCGCATAGAAAAGCAAACTATGATTATTTTTTTTTACATACGCACCACAGACAGGCGAATCAGAAGAGATAGATGAAAAATGACTTCTGGGCTGCATTCTGTGACACCATCTCAACAAAACCAAAATCTGAAACAATCCTGATTGGAGGCGATCTCAATGGCCACGTTGAAGAGAAAACAGATGGTTTTGACAAAGTGCATTGCGGTTTTGTCTATGGAGAACGGAATGAAGATGGCAACCGCATCTTTGAGTTTGCTGAAAGTCACGGGTTTTGTTTACTGAACACATATTTTAGAAAGAGGTTGAAACATCTCAAACATACAAAAGTGGACCATCAGTCACGCAAATTGATTTCTTCGCTGTCAAGCAACAACACCGAAGGCTATTTAAAAACGTTTAAGTTATACCTGGCGAATCATGTGTCGCCCAACATAGACTCCTCGTGGCAGACCTGGTTGTCGAACGGTCAAAACATGAATCTAAACAAATGCCTCGGAGAATCAAAACGTGGAAGCTGAAAAGCAATATTCATCGAGAAAATTTTCAACAAAAATTGCCACACAGTTAGACCACCAATCGCAAGCCAGTACATACAAAACCGTTTTGATAAACGCTACAAAACTGGTTTTGTGGGAAAACTGGTACAAAACGTCAGCATGAATGGGACACTTGGTGGTGGAATGACAATGTACAAAATGCAATAGCTGAAAAGAAAGTTGCATACAAGCAATGGCAAAAATCAAAGTCTGTTGATGACCATAAAATTTTCCGTGAGAAGAACAACTATGCAAGACGTCAAGTTGCACTGGCTCGGACAGATCAGTGCAGAGAGTGGCTCACTAAAAGCTAAGGTGAACATATGAAATCTCTGTATCGTATAGCAAAACAAGCAAAATGTACGAAAAAAGACATAGTTGGTGCCTCATGTATCAAAAATAACAAAAATGAGATGGTTCTTGAACAAGATGAGATCAAGCTACAGTGGAGAGAATACTGCAACCGTGGAAGGTCCGATTCTGAAAGCTATAAAGGATGGAAAGGCAGCAGGGTCCTCTGGACTCACAAATGACATTATCAAAGCATCTGGTACTGCAGGTATTCAAACGTTACTACAACTTTGCCGTGAAATATGGAGAAATCGCTCAATGCCGACTGAATGGAACTATTGCATGACAGGCAAAGGTGATATTGTTGGTGATGTCAAACGAAGTGTAAATAGTGTAACTCATCAGTAGCCCGAGTTAAGACATCAACTTAGTGCATTTACTATCTCAGTTGAAAAAATCAAACTAAGATGTTTTCTAGGTAATTACCAGAAACACATTTTGGTCGATAGAGACGTACTGTTACTCTGCCGACTAAAGAAAATTGTGAGTCGACTTGAATTCACAAGTACGTGAGTATGGCGGTGAGTGAGAAGAATTGAAAGAAAAGCTCTTAGTGTGGAAAATATCCATGGAAAGAAAGGGATTAGATGTAAATGAAGGTAAGACTAAAGTTATGTAGAAGGGAGAAAATTCAGATACTTTTCAAGTGACAAATTTTCCTGTGCGGTGTGTAGCAAAGGATTTGGAGGAAGTTCCATACTTAGTATAAAATGTGATAAATGGCGCAGAAACGATGCTGTAGTTTGACTGGAAATCTTAACAAAAGCAAAGGATTATGTTCTTTTGTTATCTAGGTGACATGCTAAGAGAGGTAAGTGGATCGGATAGAGCTGTTGAATAGAATAAAAGTAGGATGGAAAATTTCAAAAATATGACGTCAATGCTGTAGTCCAGATGTATAACATCGGGTCTGAATAGTAAGTTTTTTTGTATTAGTCTTTATTATTGCAGCTCTGACATTTGCAGAACCGCTTACAATGTTACACATATATTATCTATAATCTTCTTATGTTCTTCATGTCTTCATTGATTTGAAGCAGCCATTTTCGCCACAAAGGGTGTTTATCCTTTTCGCACGACGTACACATGTATTTATGTGCACGCGCAAGCACCGCATCAAT